AATAAGAAGCCATATCCATTGGCCAACAGTTTTATAATTAATATAGTGTCTGTGTGTTTATTTGGGGCTGAGAAGGGTGGTGAGACCTGGCAGGACAAGAAGAACTTCAGCAACAAGAACTATCCCCCCGAAAGAATTGAGAATTGCTGACTTTAAGTGAGAGGCTAAAGCCAAATCACACTCCTAAAGGCAGTGGTTGAGAAAATGGAGTGATAAGTGTATAACCAACAAGACTCTTGATTTTTGTACTGGAAGAGGTAGGGCTTCAACTGGCCACCTGTCATCTTATACCAGAAAACATCTCCCAAGTCACATTGGCACCCTAGGAAGGAGATGATTGACGTCTTCTAAAATCTCATTGCCACTGGCATCTCACATTTTGAACTTCATCGAATGCCTTGAGGCTTCCTCCACTCACACTCCCATTTCCACACACTATCAGTTCTTGAGAAGCACAGGATAGACCACTGGGCACAGCACTTCCTAGCACCACACTGAACCACATAACCTTGATCTCTTTACTTGCAAGATTTCACAATACAACTAAGTAATTATTTGTGCATGTCATACAACAGTTTACATTAATGAAGGGGAATGATCATAACTATTAGTGCCTTTAATTTGCATCAGGAGCCACCAAACTCCCGTAAGTCAGGTGTCATCATTGCAGAGAGACTGGAGCTGGGATAGGAGCTCAGGACAAGGTTCTCCAGGGCAATATTCATAACAGAATGCTTCAGAAACAAATATTCTCTATCAAATAATGACGACCACATGGGCTTGAAGTTAGATGGACTTTTGTCTCCTAAGACTAGGATGTCTGTCACCTTTGAAGCTGTGTGGGACATACCACCTAATTGTACAAAGCCTTAACTTTCTCCTTTGTATAATGGGAATCATATTATTTGGCTGGTAAGCTGGGTTAGTGTAAGAGTTAAATGTGACAATACCCATTTAAAAAGGAAAGTATTGCACATCCCAGAACTGAGGGATCATAGGTGTTAAGCAAAAGAAGAACTCTCTAAACACATAGTAGTAATGTAATACTATTACTATTACAACCTCATGAACACTAAACATATGCAAGACCGGTACTGGAGAGCCTATCTTGGGTCTTGGGCTGAAATAGAAATTTAGCAGACAAACTGTATGTGCATGGACTAGGAGCATTTGCCCACAAACAGGTCAGTATGCTTCTCCCTGGAAATAGTGATGCCAGGAAGTAACCTGGGATGCCATGCAATCTAAACACTTGCTCTACAGCACCACACATCTCACCCTTCCACATGACCTTCTGACCTGAAGACAAACACCAAGTGTACATTACATGGTTTTGAAATTCTCAGCAAGACCTTGCTCATCACAAAAGGCTGTGACCCTGCTTAAAGATATAAAGAAAGGGTGATGGTAAGATGAAAAGCTGGATAACATACTGCCGATATATATATATATATATATATAAAATTTGAATTTTTGGAAACTTTAACTGTGCTGTCAACTTTGAAAAAAAGTATCCCAGTTTACTGTGTTGAGTTGGCATTGTACAAAACTTAACAGCCATATTGGTCTAGAAATGTTGAAGTTAATTATTTTTCTATTTGTACAGGGGTAACGCACTGTATTAAATATGTAAGGACTTAAAAAAAGAAGGGATTTTGAGAGCCCATCCTATGTGAAGATGGTTTGAATAAGAACGGCTCCCATAGGCTCATATATTTAAATACTTAGTCGTCAGGGAGCACTATTTGAGAATTGGGAGGTGTAGCCTTGTTGGAGGAAATGGGTCACTGAGGGTGGGCTTTGAGGTTTTAAAAATTGTGCCCATTTGATTGACATCTGAAGCAAGCTTGTTCCTAATTTGATCTAATAAAATAAAATAAAATAAGTGCAATATTAAAGACTACAAAAAAAAAGATGAAAAGCTGGCCTTTGGGGGCATCCAGTCTTCCCTTTGCACACAGATCACAAAGTAGACATGTTTTCAGTAGGTGCAATGCTCAGCTGGCAGGAATGACTCCCTTTTATGTTTCAGAACAAATTCAGAGTTACAATTGGCTGGACATCAATGTCTCATGTCTGAGATGTTGCCCTTAGGTTCTATGCATGTATTCAAATGATGTTTATTGAGTACCAGACTTAGAATGAAAAGACTTCTCTGTATTGAATTTCTTTCTTTCTTTCCTTTGGGTGGGGAAGTCGAGTAGCATAGGGACTAACTGGGTAGCCTAGGCTGACCTGGAACTTATAACGTTCCTGTCTCTGATCCCTGAGTTCTGGTATTATTACAAGCATTATATTGAGTTCCTAAAACATGAAGGCTGCCAGTAGTTAAATGTGCTTCAAGCTCATTAAGTCCATGGAATGATACCTGGCAGCAACTCTCTTACTACTCCTTCTTGGCAGGTAGAGATTAGAGGCCAAGGGTGAGGAACTTGGCCCTAAATGGCACAGCTAGAAAGTAGTAGGAGTTAAGACACAGACTTGGTCACTTCCCAGGGATTTATGGATCCTCACCAAAAAGTTAGCTGAAGTGAAAAGCCTAGGCAGTAGGGTATGCTTTATAGCAGAATGCATCTAGGGACGGATGAAGAGCTCAATCCCCCTGGATCTCTAAAAGTCACAGACTTTCAGAGGAAAAAGCAATATATTAGACTCCTAGAAAATCATGCAATGTATTAGCGCATGCAGTTTTGCTGCTGTGATCTGAGGAGAAGATCTAAAAAGAGATTATTAGAATGTCACTTAAGAGACAAAGTCACCATCAGCATCACCATCTTTAGCCAAAGCTACCTGTAAAGTGTTTTCCTTTAAAAAGAGCATGGATGGGGGTGTGGCTAAGTAAAGTATTCCCTGTGCAAGCCTGGAGACCTGAGTTCAATTCCAGAACCCATGTAAATATGGAAGGAAAGAAGTGACTCTACAAAGATGTTCTCTGACCTTCACATGTTCACTATGAAACAGCATGCCCCCTGCCACACACACCCCCAAACACACACAAACACACAAACACAATGAAGTACTTTGTTAGTCCCTGTACTGGAAGTCTCATAGGTAGTGTCTCTTTCTCAGTAAATAGCCAGTCTGCCCAGGCAGAGGTAAATGGACAGGACCACACCTCTTGTGTGTTTTACCAAAGATATAGTCTCCAAGCTGGACACTCTATTGTCTGTTTTTCTTTACAGCCTCCCTGTACCCATGGAACAAACTGAAGTTCAACCACAGCCTTAGCTCAAGCTGTCATTCTGGCCAACTGGACCAAAAATACAGAGACAGACTCAGACGGGGTAAAGATAACTACCCATATAGGAAGCCTCAGCAAGTACCTCATGTAATGTCTATAGGGATTGGGGGTTTACGTTTGGAGGAAGACAGACAGATGCCAGATGGTTCTGAGTCCTAAACTGAAAGAAAGCTCTAGATCATTGAAAGAGAAGGCAGTTGTCTGGCTTTGTTGTTGCAGCAAATTTATCCTTTGGGGCTTTATTTTCTTCCTTTGCTGTCATGAGCAACAAAGGTGAATAATTACCTCCAAGTGTCAAAGCAACACATTCTGCTTGTACATACAATCCTGATAATCGCATTCAATATTTTGCTTTTTTTTTTTCTGTATGCCCTGTCTCTGATACCTATGTCAGTTTTATTTCTAACTTCTGTGACAGAAATCTGACAATCAGTGCAAGATTGGATCCAACCGCTACAGTCTTATATCTATCTTTGCAGGGCCAAGGATGGGCCTTCTTGGAATATTAACAAGACAAGGGCAAAACGTTTCTCTTTTATTGGTTTAGGGAAACAGAAAAGAATTTTAATGAATAGAAATAGGTTCTGCCCCTAAGATCACAGAGGTCTCTCTCCTACTGACTTTAAAAAAAAAAAGTTCAAATATTTTCAGTTGGTACTCCAATGTCCACTATCTCAGCATATATTGTTTCGAGTTCAAAACTAAATATATTTCCCAGCAGCCTTGTGGGAGGAGGTACTCTATAAATCAATTAGATTTGGCGAAAGAAGCTAATTTTAAAACATTTGGCACCCGTGAGTGGTACTTCATGCCACAATCAAACATCTTAATAAAGCCCAACCCTTATATTAGGTAAATTTTTAAAAATGAATTTTAACCATCTAGGATTTTCTGGGCAAGTCAGAGAGAACAAACACTGGCCACTTCTTGATCAAGCACAAGACTTTCCACTACAGGAAACGGGTGGTTTTCCTGTGGCCAAAATGAAAGTATCCTTTTCTGTCTTTTGTAACTACCGCGTCACCAACGAGTGGCACTGTGTGCCACTGTGTGGCACTATCCTTAACACACACACCACCCTGCCTCAAAAAAAAAAAAAAAAGGAAAACACATGAAAACAAAAAAAATAAGTCACCCATGGCTACTTTCAGGTTGGAGAGAACCAAAGCCACGGGGTTCAGAACTCGCCTACAATCGTGGGGCAACTTCAAGACAAGATGAATTACTAGATGGCATAGCTTTTCAGAAAACCCCACTACCTTGGGGGAAACAAATGATGGCTTATTCCAGTTGCTTAAATCACGCTCCCATAAGTCACAAGTCACAGCACCAAAGATTAAGAAACAGGGTCGTGTTGAGGCAAGTACAAAGTGAATCTAAGCAGGAACTTTTTAAACTCGCGCATGTTTCAACCTTACAGATCCCCGTAGCTAAACCTGGGACCAATAAATAGACTTGATCTGGGGCAGGCAGGCAGCCTGTCAGTGCTGTACTAAGAAAAGATAACTGTGTCGCCCTCTGACTCAGCTGAGCATGGCTCCCAGAGTGAATTTCCATGGGACCAAGGTCAGGTTTAACATGTTAACTTGATAACGTCTGCCAGAAACTTCATAAAATATCCCTGGAGCAATGAAAGAAAGAGAATGGACAGATTTTCACAGGAGAGGTGAGCTCTGAGACTCCAGCCTGCTTGCACATACTAGCACAATATAGCCAAGGGGGGGGGGACTATAAAGAAATGGAGAAGACATAGAAGTACCTGCTTGAGAAGAATCACCCAGAGACTGCCTTCTTGTGCTAGGGAATGGCAGAGGAGGGGGCATTGGCCTCTCCTGGCGTCACAGGGCTGCTGAGCATGGAGCCTTGTGTTTTCAGTTTTGGTAGAATCCGTTCCGAGGCTGTTATGACCATGAAATTAGGAAATGCAGAGTCTCAGAAGCAAGGAATTAGCACCACCACTTGACTGGGATTGGAAACTCTGCTCCGGATAATAGGGGAGGGGGTGGCCTTCCTCTCTCCAGCCAGGCCCGATTCCAACTTTCTCAACATTTGCCTACAGATAGATGTTTGCAGAGGGACAAGCCTCCGGTGAAACTAGCTAGCTGAGACTTTTTTTTTTTTTTTTAAGGTGATCCAGCCCATTTTGTCTCTACTTGCAATAAAGCTCAAAGTCTAGACGGGCATGCTGACTTGGAAAAAATAAAATAAGAAAGCATTCTCCGGGGTGCATAAATTTTCTCACCCAAAATTAGCTAAGAGGCTGGCGTGAGGGTGTTCCTTCGGTGAGTGCTTCCGAAACTTTCTCTTTCACTCACTGACTCAAGGAGCAGCTCAGCAAGTCTTGTCACTGATTAATTGGGTTCCTGATTTTGGAAACCTGCACTGACAAGGAAGCCCTTAAGATACATGAGTCTTCATAAACTGCTTGGTATTTCCTGCAGCGATTTACAAGTTTATGGGGTTGGGTGTATTTTGTTTGCTTTAGGGCTTTAATCTTGTTTGTTTTGTTCTGTTTTATTAAGACAAGGTCTCTGTAGTCCAGACTGACCTTAAACTCCCAGCAATCCTCCTGCCTCAGCCTTCTAAGCACTAAAATTACAGGTGTAAGCCAAGACTGGCTTTTTTCCTTTTTTTAACGACTGGCTTTTTAAACACTTATTATTTTGTTGGTTTGTCTTTTTCTTTCCTTTAAACTCAAAGACAAACAGGCTGAAGTAAAAATATGAGATTAAAAAATATTTTGAATTTATTTTCTCTCTCAGTGCTAGAGGTAGAACCCAAAACTTTGATGTGCTAAGCAAACACATTACCGCTGGCCCACAACCTTTGGATCCCCTCATTTTTAAAAATGATTGAAATTTTAACAGCTTATAAAATCTGCTATGTTTTATGTAACATGTGCTTTCAATGATGGGTTGTTGTTGTTTTAATGTGTTTGCTTTTTTTCTATGCGATAAGACTGAAAAAGGATATTCTTCCAGAAATAAGAATGGTGACAGGCAAAAGACCAGAAGGGACCTCTCTGGCCACTGCCTCAATCCCTCTAAATGCACACTGGTGCATGCTGGGTAAGGGAAGACTGTCAGAATTGGCTTAGAGGAGACATCTAATAACTAATGAATTAAACATTTTTAGAATAAACTATCTTCACTGTCTTCAGTTTTCTATACACTGGTGAGTTTAGCCCTAAAATAACCCAAAATGCATAAATGTGTCTGAATTTAACTCCCCCAGACTACTTGGGATAGAATGCCTTTTAGTTGTTATATAGAATGCTTTATTTCAATTTAACAAACATTAAGCTTAATAAGACTCATTTATACAAGGAATAATTACATACCCTAAGCATGGCAAGGACAGTCTTTGATTTATTATTTTTATTACGATTTCTGGTGAAAGGTAAATGATTCAATAAAAGGTTTTGAATAGTTCAAACGTTTTAAAAGCCAAGTGTTTTCTGCCCCAAATTAATTGAATCCCTCCATTTTATTTGATTTGCCAGGATGGATGAATCATGCTTTCAAATAGCATTTAGCTACCTGTTAGAATACGTTGTGTACATCAATACAGAGAAGAAAATTACCTAGGGCAGGAATTCTCAAAATAGAACATCCACTGGATTCAGAACCAAGTGTAAGATTATTTCCTTTTCATGGAGGGGATGCATATGAGTGTGCAAGTACACAGAAATATGTGGGCACATGCCTGTGCCCCTGCATCCAGAGGCCAAAGCAAGACACTGGTGTCTTCTCCTAATGCTCTCCACCTCATTTCCTTGAGACAGGTCTCTCACTGAACCAACTGGAAGGTGGCTGGGCTAGTTGGCCAGTGAGCTCTTGGGATCCACCTACACACACACACACACACACACACACACAGAGAGAGAGAGAGAGAGAGAGAGATAGAGAGAGAGAGAGAGACTTCTGAGTTACAAGCACATGCAGCCATGTATCTTTACATGGGTGCTGGAGATTCGAACGCAAGTCCTTTATCCATTGAGCCATCTCCCCAGTCTTCCATGTCCTTTTCTTTAAAAATACAATTCTGTAATATAAAGATGTATATAAAATGTATGAAAGGTTGTCTGTCCTTAAGGGACAGTTATAGTCGTCTTTTCATCCTAGACTATGCTTTCTTGAGAGGAAAGGAATGGAAACAACAGCAAACATTATCTCCCAGATAAAAGCACATGTCTAAGATACTCAAAGCACTCTCTACACTCCACAAGAGGCAAGAGCTGCTGGCTGGCAAGGAAACCATGAGATGCTGAGATACTGTGCTCATGCCAGCTAGAATGTATTCAGGGGGTCCAGATCAAGCCTCCATACCATTCATAGCCCTCTGCCGCAACTTCTGGGCTGACCCACAGAATCACACACATGCAACACACATAGATGTGTCATGGGAAGACAGTGAAGTCTCAAGAATAAGTATGATCGGTTCCATTAGCTTGGCAAAGACGACTAGGAATTGATCTATGCCAAGACCAGAACATTGTTTTAAAATATTCTGTGTTGCTCATCAGGGAAAATCTCTCCTTTGAGAGAAAAAATGTCTAATTATGCTGTATTCAACACTATTAGACTGACTTGATAATGAACAACAAATAAGAAAAGAACAATTTAAGTGAAGAATTAGAATATGGCATAATTGAAACAAACACAGGAAAATCAAATCTCTTCAGTACCAATCAAAGTACCAATCAAAGAGAGGTGGCTTGTCTTCCTGATTTCCTCACATACATACTTGCACATGAAAAATAAAACCTTCACTCTGCATCAAAAGCACGCCATCCTCCACATCCTTGTTAATAATGAGAGGGAGCCAACATACACATCCCCTCCTCCTACCATATACACTTTATTAAGAAATTTGAAAATTCTCTAGGTTACAACCTTGGTTGTTTTTTTTTTTTTTTTTTTGACACATTCTCCTATTTCAAAAGTGGCCACTAACAGCTCAGTTTCCACAGCAAAAGAATGCTGAAAATTGGTGTAGTCTGTCTGGGTCATTCAATAAGATCTTGCTGTGATACGGGTAATTCAGGCTAAGATAAAAAAAAAATCAGCCTTTTTATTTGGGGAGTGCATGCTTTTGTCTGACACCCCAGATGATAGCTGAGCTTGGGACTCAAATATATAGGTAATTGTCCTAATTCTCCATTTGTCCTTATTAGCAAAGATGCCTCCAGAGAGAGCTGCTCAAAAACTCTCTCAACTCTACCACACTGGAAAAGTAGCGCTGAATTCCTGGTTTTCCTTATGAAGAGAGACACAAATTGAAATCTCCTACCTGGAGATAGTGGAGTACCTGACCACTTGCCCAGTCATTTTGCTGAAGAAATTGTCCTGCCCGTGGCTCCTGTTGCCTGGACAACCAAATGAAGTCTGGATGACTTCCTATACCATACCTCTAATTGCTAATTGGAACACTATTAGGCATCTGAAAAAAAACAAAAAACAAAAAACAAAACAAAACAAAAAAAACCTCTAGCCTGACCAGTGATCTTGGACTAGATCTAAGATATCTGAGTTGATCATGAATACTATGACTTGAAAGTGAAGCTTTCCCCCCAAACTAATATGTGGTACTCAGCCAGTGGTGCTGTTTATGGGAGTTACAGACTTTTAAAGGTAGGGTGTAGTTGTGGGAAGTAGGCAGCTGGGAGAGATAGGCCTGTGGGTTATAGCTGAGTCCTAACTCTGGCCTGACTTCTGCTCCTTGAACTCCAGTGTGTGAGGTAATTCTAGCCTCCTGGTCCTGCAGTCATAAATTCCATCATGTCTTTCTCCTCCTGATAGACTGGACCCATTCAAACCATAGGCCAACATAAGTCTTTTTTACCTTAAATTGTTTCAGTCACAGAAACGAGAAAATTAACTAGCAGAGTGGTCAACTACATGGAGCTCACAGGGCTATAAATTTTTGAGCTTCAACAGGGCAGTGAACCTCAGCCAGGACATCTTGGGGTAGAGTAGAAGATGCAGGACGACTCCTAGTAAATGAAGTTATCTATGGACAGAGAAAAATCAGTCTGCAGAGATGAGTGGCCATGAGGCCCTGGACTCACAACTGCATCACTGTGTTAGCCACACTCACATAGGCCTCAAGTTTTCCAGCAACTCTTATCATCTGGAGGTTAACAGTATCTTCTTCCTGGATCTCAGGTGCTGCTCATATGAGACACAAGACTCAGCAGTTGGGCTTTCAGTGTGCAGGGACAGGGCAGGGGTTAGGAACAGATGATGTTATGGCCGACATCCAAGGAGGTGCCCTCTCCTTGACATTAGAACTCAAACTGAAACTTCTAAGAGTAAAGACATTCTCTTTTTTAAGAGAAAGAAACATAGAAATAGGGAGGGCTATCTTTCTACAGAAAACAAATACCAAGAAAATATGTTGGAAAAGATCAAATTCAAGTCAACTTTACACCATCAATAGAAAGACTTTTAACACAGAGGAAAACATGTATCAAGATGGAAACACCCCATACCAGGAAATTATGATACAAAGATTTCTGTTATAATAACTAGACTCTCATACTTATAAAATGACTCATCACATATATGATGATTTACAATAAAAACAGTGTACACTCTACACAAAAATAGCTCTGGGGGCCAGTGAGATGGCTCAGTGGATAAAGATGTTGGCTACCAAGCCTGATGACCTATTTTCAATCCCCAGGTCCACATGGTAGAAGGAGAGAACAAACTCCATCAAGTTGTCTTCTGACACCCAATGGAGCTACACAAAATTAAGAATAAAATGAATGAGCCTGTCATTCAAGATTTTATCATGTATGTTGTTTCTTCACAAATTGTAAAAACTGCTTATATTTCACTTTTCCAAGCTGATGTTTTTTTCCAATTCAACAAGGTCTTTGAATACTCATCTTCCTTCTCAGACTTTCCTGAAGACTTTCTTCCTATTCCCATGAAGAGATATTCTCTTGGAACAATCCAAAGAGATTCGTCACTTTCAAACCTTTAGGTCTACTTGTAATTACCAAGTGGAGACATGAGCCCTGAGGCTCAGAGTGAGAGCCACATGCAGATCCAATTTGACCCTCTCCATCACACCAGGAAACATCACGAACAAGGAAGCAAGGTCATGGGAGTAGGCCTCAGTGGCATGATACCAGTCCCTACTTGGCAAATCAATGGCGTTATCTACTTTTCCCTCATAGGAACACAAAGGAAGTAGAATGAAGAAGAAGGCTTGAACAGATTAACGAAGGGGCTATAGAGAGAGTTACCTGAGGGTGAGAAAAGGGTCAGTGGGCT